GTGTGTGTGTGTGTGTGTGTGTGTGTGTGTGTGTGTGTGTGTGTGTGTGATATGTAACTACCTCCGTGGGAAAATTTACAGTATGCCGTAATGGGACAATTTAAAACATGTTGTGTAAGAGCAACTTAGTTTCATTCAAACAGGAAGGTATAAAAGTTTTACTTGTGCATTGGTAAGATGGCTCTTGCTGCCAAGCATGACCTGAGCTTGATCCTCAGGACTCATATGATAGGAGAGAACCAACTTCCACAGTTATCCTCTGATATGACACATGTATGTATACATAATGAAATAAATGAATTTAATTTAAAAGTTAAAATTATAATTGTGTTTAGGTTTTTTTTTATAAAGTGTCTAACAAAGTCATTTAATTATAGAACTATCAGAGGAGCCTAATTTCTTTGGCTCTTCCATTACACAAATTAGTTTATTTATGTAAGAGACAAGGTCTGGTGATAGTGTGGCATCCACTACTGAACCTGGGTAGGAACATTATTTTAATACCAACACAAGTGAAATGCAAAACATAAAAGGCATTCTCAATTTCCTTAAACAGCTGTTGTTCTACGTTATAGTGACAAATCAAAACCACCAGATGAAATGTTATTTTAGTTTTACTTTGAAAAAACACAGGTAAATGAGCAATTTATTATTTTTACCTTATTCATAACTTTACTTATGTTAAGACTATGATTTATGGCAACACTTCTGAAAATTGCCATTGTACCAGTTCATAAGCAGCTTCAACATCTCACAGATGTTTATGATAAACCATGTGATTCAGAAAGAATAGAAAGAAGCAATAGAGGACCCGTCAAAAAGAAAAACAGAATACATGCTTAAAATATTTTTGAGGAATGCATCCATTTTATTTTATTTTTTTTCCCAAAAAAGCTGAATATATAGAATGAACAGGAAAAAAAATGGTTCCTTGATCTGAAAATACTTCTTTGAGCCCTGTGTTGTAAGACGGTTCAGACACTTCTGAAAGCCGATGCAGAAATGTGGAGAGAAAATGAATGTATTAGATCGAATCTTATGAAATTGCTGGTACTGCTGGAAAAGAAGCACAGTTTCACAGACCTTGTATCATCCACCTGTACATCTGCTAGAGCATCCCAGTGAGCTCAGTAAACATGCATATGCTTGGAAGAGTCTCCCATGTGCTAATGTCTACAAGTATGGCCATAAGCAAGCCACAGTACCTTTTCTTGGTAATCCTCAGACTAATGAGAGAACTTGCTTAACCAGAGCACTCCTTCATGCCAGGGATATCAAAAGATGAACAGAGGAAGATTACTTAAATAGGAACTAAGTCTTTTCTGTGATATGTGAGCATGGCTGTTCATCTGAAAATTTATCAGGTTGCACAGTGCTTTACCTATGCTTAGCCTAACCGTATGGCCAAAAGCAATTATTCCAATTGCCTCCCCCTTCCCAACTTTCTGGAATTTTATTTTGGAGTTTTTGTTTGTTGTGTTGTTTGAGGAACAAGGCTCAAAATGACTGGAATAAAAAACCACCAGGAATAAACTTTTTTCAAATTCATTCTAAATGAGAATTCCTCTACAAGACTTCTTAGCTCATAGAACATTTATGCCGAAAGAAGTACACCCTGCCATAATCCTTCCTCATTGTCCCTTAAAGGAAACACTGTATAAATGTAAGAAATGCATACAAGAAAAATAGAACAGTGTTAGAAATTTAGAATATGATTAGCCATAACTAGACTGTATTAATTGTTTTTATCAATTTGGTAAGGCCTTTATCATACATGATCATCAGATTTCTATTTTTTATTTATTTATTTTTTAGCCAGAGGGATTTCGAAGAGCTTGAGGCCAGCTTGTCCTGTACAGTAAGTTCTTAGCCAGCCTCAGTTACCAGTGCGACCACACCCCCTCCACCACATAAACAAAGCAAAAGAGGGCTGGTGCACTAGGTCAGTGCTCTTGCTGCTGATTCTGACAATCTGAGTTGGATCCCAGGGACCCACATGGTGAAAGGAGAGAAAATTGTCCTCTGACCTCCACATGTGTGCTATGCATATGCGAGCCTACAAAACACAGAATAAGTAAAAAATGTCATTAAAATATACATGAAATAATTGGATTTCTAACTTTTCATCCAACGCTAGTTTTGGAAAATGCCTTTGGAGCCATCACTTGCTTTTTTCCTTCCTGATGTCTTTCCTCTATGTCTATATATATGCTATATTTGGAGGAAATGACACTTTATATTGAACTGAAAACATAGATCAAATTAGATGATGTTTATGAATAATACTCTTTAGAAATGGTGAAGCTAGCAGTCTATTGTCTTAACCATTCTGCCACCTCGTACCAGGGAACAGGATAGGAGCCTACTACAAAGGGCCTCTGAAAGACTCTACCCAGCAAGGTATCAAAGCAGATGCTGCTGAGACTCAAAGACAAACTTTGGGCAGAGTGCAGGGAATCTTATGGAAGAAGGGGGAGATAAAAAGACCTGGAGGGGACAGGAGCTCCACAAGGAGACCAAGAGAACCAAAAAATCTGGGCCCAGGGGCTTTTTCTGAGACTGATAGTACAACCAAGGACCATGCATGGAGATAACCTAAAACCTCTGCATGGATGTAGCCCATGACAGCTCTGTCTCCAAGTGGGTTTATTAGTAATGGGAACAGGGGCTGTCTCTGACATGAACTCAGTGGCTGACTCTTTGATCACCTCCCCCTAATGGGGGAGCAGCCTTACCAGGCCACAGAGGAAGACAATGCAGCCAGTCCTGATGAGACCTGATAGGCTAGGGTCAGAGGGAAGGTGAGGAAGACCTCCCCTACTAGTGGACTTGGGGAGGGGCATGGGAGGAAATGAGTGAGAGAGTATGGGATTGGAGGGAGGGGGCTACAGCTGGGACACAAAGTGAATAAACTGTAATTTATAAACAAATAAATAAATATTTAAAAAAATAAAGAAAATGGTGAAGCTAGGGACTGGCTGTTCTTCCAGAGGACCTGAGTTTGATTTCTGACAGCTACATAGCAGCTAACAACCATCAGTAACTCCAGTTCCGGGGGGATCTGACACCTTTTCCTGACCCCAGAGGGTACTAGGAATGTATAAGGTGCACAGACATGCATGCAGGCAAAACACCCATAAACATAAAATAAAGTAAAATCATTTTAAAATTGTGAAGGTTGGGTTGAAGACGAATCTTAGTGGCAGAATACTTGCCTAGCATACAAGAGGCCCTGGGTTCGATAATTAATACGATAAAAATTATGACTCTCTGTAAGGATGAGCCATCATTCATCATAGTCCTCTTTAAATGGCAGAGGTTGTTCCCAAGTAGATTCTTGGCTAATGTCCACAACTGTGAGAAGGAGTTTTTCTGTTTTTTTCCCCTTACTTTCCAGCCACATCAGCTGTTTACTTAATGCCAGGCAGTAACCTCATTAGAAGATTCAGAAGCTGCCAAAACAGCAATTGTTGAGTTTGGCAGCAACCAGCCTGAGGTG